AAAAAAAAAAAAAAAGATGGCTGGGTGCAGTGGCTCACGCCTATAATCCCAGCACTTTGGGAGGCCAAGGCAGGTAGATTACCTGAGGTCGGGAGTTTGAGACCAGCCTGGCCATCTTGGTGAAAACCCATCTCTACTGAAAATACAAAAAATTAGCCAGGCATGGTGGCAGTGCCTGTAATCCCAGTTACTTGGGAGGCTGAGGCAGGAGAATTGCCTGAAACCGGGAGGCGGAGGTTGCAGTGAGCTGAGATCATGCCACTGCACTTCAGCCTGGGCAACAAGAGCGAGACTCCGTCGAAAGAAAGAAAGAAGGAAAGAGAGAAAGAAAGAGAGAAAAGAGGAAAGAAATCAAGAGACCAGAGCTAAAGAAGTCCCAACGTAGCCACACAACTCTGGGCAAGTTAATTGACCTCTCCCAGCCTCAGTTTCCTCATCTGTAAAATGAGGATGATGGGGCCTATTTCTCTAGGTGGGAGAGAGGAGACAATTAACTAAAATAAAGACTGTTAAACATGTGGCACATATTAGTGCTTAATACATGTAGGTCTCTTTCCCGTCCCCTTTCCCCTTTCCTACTTCTCTCTGCCACTTATCTGTACCCCAGTGACCTGCGACTATCTAGGACTTGGCAGTATTACCTCTACTAGTCAGCTTGGTTAAGCTTTCTGATGCTGAATTAAGCCCTGGGACATGCATATCTAGTGGTCCTAAATAGTCTAGCCCAGAAGAGGAGTTTTGTTCCTTAACTAGGAATCATTTGAGGGCCACATACAAGTAAAAAGTAATTTAGCTTCACCCCCTAGAGAAAAATATAACATGTCACATTCACTAATATTTAACATTAAGAGCAGGGAACATAAAACTTTATTCACTGCAAGAGCAGCGGTCCTGAGGGCAGAATCCTCTGGACTGAGTCAGCACTGAGCTGAGCGATGGAGCCTCAGGGGTGAAAGAATAAAGCAGAGAGCTTGTCCTCCAGGCTCAGCGAGACCTAAGGGCCCCTCCCAGTGATGGGAAGAGGTGAGACAGAGGCTGCTCCTTGCTCAGACGTCCCGGAGAAGCTCAGCTGCGCACCCAAGGACCCATCACCTTTACTGCTAACCAGCTCTGCCGCTTTAATCTACAGTTATCCTGGGCTGGGCACTGCGGTTCCTGGGAAAATGACGCAGTCCCGGCCGTTTAGGGGAAGCCTGGGAGGAGGGAGCCCAGGAAGACTGGGAGAATGGGATGGGTGAGGCTCACTCCCTGTCAAGCTGGGCAAAGCGCTGTGTCTGAGAGGCAGGCAGCTAACCACGAGCTGGCGGCGCTCCATTTACAATCTGGTGAGCCTGTATTGGTATAACTTGTATTGTGAGGCTTTTGAGATGTCTTGTGACCTTGTGATTTTCCCCGTCTTTGGTGCGTTTGCCCCCTGTAGTGACAAGCAGTTAAAAAAACAAAAACAAAAAACACTCAGAAGGGCAGTGCTTGCTCAGGGATCTGCACACAGGGCAGACATTGAGATCTCACCCAGTTCGGCTGTGGAACGGGGTGCAGGGAGGGGAAGAGGGACCCAGGGCCCAGCAGGACAGGGGCGGCTGCCAGCCCCGCCTGGATATGCCCTGGGATGGTAGGCTCTGGCAAGAGCACCGCAGTGAGTCATGAAGGGCCCCAGGGAGAACCTGGATCCCTTTGCTCTGGTCCTCCGTCCCAGGCTGAAGTAACCTATAGGCCCTGGAGGAGGGGGCAGGACTCCAGCACCCTTACCATGAGGCCCTGCTCTACTGACCTCGGATCTGCAGGTTGGAGAAGGTCTGCACAGGAATGGTGATGCTGAAAGAAAGCAGAGGGAAAGGGTTGCCCAGGCTGGTCGGGACAACCCTAGGCTGGGTCCTGGTCCAGGGCCATCATGACAACTTCAATGCCCTTTTCTTCTCCAGGGAAGTCTGACTCTATCTCCTAGCTTTCCCCAGCAGCCAACATGCTATCTGAAGCTCCAAAAGTCTGCAAGGCGCTTGAGTGTTATCTGTTAGGATTTCATGTTCATCTGAAGGAAGATGGAAAAGGGAGGGCAGAGTGCTGAAGAAAGTTCCAAGGAGGCAGAAGAGATGGGTGAGGTGAGGAGTCCAGTCTTTGCTGGGAGGGTGGGCAGTGAGCCTCTTAGTTTGGAGGGTGACTCGTGTCCTTGGCCTTGAGGCCTAATCAATACTGGTTGAATCCATCCATCCATTCATTGACATCTAGTGACTGGCTGCTGTGTGCGAGGCAGGCGCTGTGCTGGGCATTGAGGTGGGAAGGGAGCTGGACACAAGGCTGAAAAGCCTCAGGCCCTGAAGGGGGCAAGGTGGGCTCTATGGAGGCGAGGCGGCAGGGAGACTTCTTCCCCAGGGCTGTGATCGGGGCTCACCGGTTCTCCTCGCCCTCCAGCAGCTTCCTGTAGGTGGCGATCTCGATGTCCAGGGCCAGCTTGACGTTGAGCAGGTCCTGGTACTCCTGCAAGTGGCGGGCCATCTCGTCCTTGAGGCTCTGCCCCTCTTCCTCCAGCCGCGCCAGCGCCTCCTGGTAACTGGCAGCCTCCCGCGCGTGGCGCTCCTCCTGCTCGCGCATCTGCCTCTCCAGGGACTCGTTCTGTGGGATGGAGCCGGCCGGTCCCGCGGGACCCCGACTTGACTCGCTGGGGTTTCGAGGCCCCGCCCCCGGCCCCAGGCTCCGCCTCTAGCCCGGGGTGACGTTCGAGCCCCGCCCTCGCCCCAGGTCCGCGCCCCTGGCCCTTCTACCCTAGCGTCTCCTGGGGTGGCCGTCCCCTCTCCCCCACCCTCGTCCTGTCCTGGCCGCGCTCACCGTGCCGCGCAGAGACTCCAGGTCGCAGGTCAAGGACTGCAACTGGCGCCGGTAGTCGTTAGCCTCGTGCTTGGCCTGGCGGAGCAGCTCCGCATTGCGGGCAGCAGCGTCTGTCAGGTCTGCAAACTAGATGGGGATAGGAGCCACAGGCTGAGGGCGGCTGGCGGACACATAGCGGAGCTGCGTGGGCCCATGGGCAGGCACGGGCTCTGGGAAATCAGGGAGGTGACCAGGACCCCAGTCAACCCCAGGACGTTGGCCCTGGCTGGGACTTTTCCCAGCAACTGTGACCCATGGACGCGGGCAGGGTAGTGGCTGCCGGACCTCAGCACCTAGCACAACACCTGGTCAGCAAACGCATGAACAGTGCCGCAGAATCCAGAACCTTCCACACTGACAGCTGCATCTGCGGGACTGAATGTCTGTCGTCTGCTACAGTGGACAGTTGATTCCAGCAAGTGGAGCCCTAGGTTTTCTTTTCCTTTTTTTTTTTTTTTTTTAAATGGAGTGTCTCTCTTGTCGCCCAGGTTGGAGTGCAGTGGGGCTATCTCAGCTCACTGTAACCTCTGCCTCCCAGGTTCAAGCAATTCTCCTACCTCAGTCTCCCAAGTAGCTGGGATTACACATGCCTGTCACCATACCAGACTAAATTTGTATTTTTAGTAGAGATGGGGTTTCACCATGTTGGCCAGGCTGGTCATGAACTCCTGACCTCAGGTGATCTGCCTGCCACGGGCTCCCAAAGTGTTGGGATTACAGGCGTGAGCCACTGCACCCGGCCTCACCCTGGGCTCTAATAGCCCTTTCTCTCCCACCTGCAGGGAGATCCTCCCAGCTCCATCAGACCTTCACCCTTCTCAGACGCCTGTGGCCTCTGCTTCTCACTCTCCTCAGCTAGGTGCCCTGCTTGTGCCAGCATCTTGGGTCCCTGCCTTCTGTGCTTTTCTGCCTCCAGGCTCTGTCCACCACCAGGAATGGTCCTCTTTTTTTCTCTTCCTGGCCACAGCCAGCCTGTCCTGCCTAGCCCAAATGCTACACTGCATAGAAGCTCTGAGCTGTGATGTTCTCTACCGCCTCTGTGTTAGGGTGCACGTCAACATCACACCTTCCAGGTCAGACACCTCACTGTGTCCTGGGAGGTGCCTGGCATGCAATAGAGGTTCAGTCACCCAAAACAGACTGGCAGAGGCATGGAATGCAGGCTCCCAAGTGAGATGGGCTAGAGTTGGAAATCCAACTGTACTACTTAGGAGCTGTGTGGCTTTGAGCAAATTAGTTAACCTCTCTGGACTTCAGTTTTCTCATCTGTCAAAGAACTGCACCTACTTCATAGTGAGGTAATCCATGAAAAGCACAGGACTTGGCATGGAGCAATATCAGCTACTAATAATATAACAGCAGTAGTAGCGGTAATAGTAATGGGTACTTTTGGAAGCCATAGTGCCTGTGTGACCCTGGGCAAGCCATTTCACTTTTCTGGTGAAGGTCACCCAGAGAGAATATTCTCCCAGCTTCCTCCACCCTGCTTCTCCCACTCTCTCATATGGATCAAGGAGAGCTGCCTGGAGGAGGCAGGCTGGCCTACACAGGCTACCTTGGAGCGGTACCACTCCTCGGCTTCATGCATGTTGCTGGACGCCATTGCCTCATACTGCGTGCGGATCTCTTTCAGGGCTGCGGTAAGGTCTGGCTTGGCCACGTCCAACTCCACGTGGACCTGCTGTCGGGCCAGCTGCTCCTGGAGTTCCCGAACCTCCTGGCCGGGGTGAGAGAAGGGGAACCAGGGCTCAGGGTACAGGCCACAGCTGGGGCTCCCCACAGCATCGTGTCATCTTCTGCCTGCCCCTCAGCCAGGGGTTGGAACGCTGTCTTGTCTCTTTCTGTTTCCCTGAGTGCCTTTCTCTCTCTCTTGTTCTGTCTCTATCTGCCAATCTCTGTTTCTCTCCTCTCTCTGAGTGTCTCTCTCACTCTCAGCCTCTCTGTCTCTGCCTTTCCCTCTCTCAGGTGCAATCTCTGTGCTGAGCTTTCCTCCCTCTGCCCTGGCCTCACCTCCTCATGGATCTTCCTCAAGAACCGGATCTCCTCCTCCAGCGACTCAATCTTTCTCTCCAGATCCAGACGGGCCAGGGTGGCTTCATCTGCTTCCTGGAGTGGCAGGAGGGGTGAGGAGCAGAGGACCACTTGGGCCCCAGACTCTTCCTCCCCATGCCTCAGCCTTGCCTTACCCCTCCTTCTGGGGCAGTGGGGAGCAGCACATTGCTCTGGAGGGCTGAGCTTGGGGGCTGTGTTTGGGTGAGTTGCCATCAGCCCCTTTCCTCCCTCCCCTGCCCCTCCCTCCACGTCCCTGACCTGTCTATAGGCAGCCAGGTTATTCTCCGCTTCCAGCCTCAGGTTGGTTTCATCCTGGAGCCTGGAGTAGGGGGACACATTCCTGGGTCCAGGCTCTTCTGAGGACACTTGGATCTCTGCCCCAATCTCCCTAGAGGCAGCTGTCATAGAGACCACCCGCACCCAGGACCAGCAGAGCAGCAGGAGGAGTAAGGGTTGGGGGACCTTAGAGGCCTCATCTGGAGGATGAGCAGATGAGCACTTTTGCCTTAACTCATTATTAAGGTGCCTTATCAGGGTTGGTGCACCTGTTCCTGCTCACAGAGGCGCATCCACTGACGTATACTCACTGCTACACACACACACACACACGCACGCACGCACGCACGCACACACACACACCCTCCTGCACTTGAAGGCACACAGGCATGCCCTGCCAGCTCAGTGAAGCGCCATGCCCCTGGGGATTCCTTTGATCCCAGGTAACCACCTTTTGAAATGAATTTTATTATGAGCTTTGCTTCATAACTGTGCAAGTCAGAGTGACTTGATGGGGGTCACAAGCTGGTGGCAGGCTGTCACCTGTGCTCTACGCCCAGGCCTACCTGCCCTTTCCCCCACTTCCTTTACCCCAGAATCCAATCTCCCTCATGGACGCCAACCTTCTCCACTTCCAACTCCTTTATACAGACCCAGGCTCCCAATAGGTGAGCTCGCTGCCCACGGTCACAAGGCCCAGCCATGAGTGAAAATGCAAGGGCCCAGCTGCTGGGGGCCCGGCTGCTCCTGCACTGCTTTCCCCAGTGAGGAGGTACTGAGGGGACCCTGGCTCCCTGGCAGAAGGTGTTTGGGAATCAGATCCCCGGGGCCCTGGGCCTTTTTCTGGTCCCTCTCATCATGCTGTAGGGGCAAGGATAATGCCCCATCAAGAGGTAGGGAAACCCAGGGAGCAGGGAGGCTCAGCCCCTGCCTGAGACTTCTCGGGGACTCCCTCTTGGGGGTTCAGCCCACCCTGCTCACAAGGCCCTCCCTCCCCATCCCCTTCTCACTTCTGCCTCACAGTGCCCAGGTCCTGTGCCAGATTGTCCCTCTCGACCTCCAGCCGGGCGCTGTTGGCGGTGAGTTGATCGAGCCGCACCCGCAGCTCTCGCAGCTCAGCCTGGTAGACGTCGGCCAGCTTGGTGGGCTCCTTGGCCCGCAGCTGGTTCAGCTCAGCAGCCAGTGCCTTGTTTTGCTGTTCCAGGAAGCGAACCTTCTCGATGTAGCTGGCAAAGCGGTCATTGAGCTCCATCATCTCTGCCCGCTCACTGGCCCGGGTCTCCTTGAAGCCAGCATTGAGTGCCCCAGCCAGGGAGAAGTCCACTCGAGTCGGGAGTGGAGGGGGCATTCGAGCCAGGGAGAGGCGGGTGCCAGGACCCAGACGACGGGAAGCCAGGCCCCCCACCATCATCTCCCCCTGGGAGACATAGGAGCGGCGAGCAGCAGAGGTGATGCGTCTCCTCTCCATCCTGCCCTGGCTCTACTCGCTCCTGGGACATGAGGGCTTTATGAAGGAGTGGGCTGGGCTGGCAATGCCCGCTGCCCCTGGCAACGCCCCCGGCATAGCCTGAGGGGGTGGGGTTGGGCCGAAGCCCAGCTATGGGGAGAGCTCCTCTCACCCCATTGAGGTCACTGTGCCCAGAGGCAGGGCTCCCTGGGCATGCCAACTCCTGCATGAGGCAGGTGGTGCCTGGAGCCAGACCATGGGCCCGGGGCCCTGACCACTGAGGCAAGAGGACCCTCTCTTTAGGAAGGTGGGTCAAGAAGGGTTGGTTGGACTACAATGAATACTTACAATTATTATGCATCAATTAAAAAGGAAGGGAAGGGCAGGGTGGGATGGGTCATACTTGTAATCCCAGCACTTTGGGAGGCTGAGGTGGGAGGATTACTTGAGCCCAGTAGGTTGAGGCTGCAGTGAGCTGTGTTTGCACCACTCCAGCCTGGGCAACAGAGAAAGACCCTGTCTCAAAAAAAAAAAAAAGGAAGGGCTGTACCAGGTTACCTCTGACCTGCCTTCCAGCTTTTTGATTTCATAACCCAGGCCTTCTGTCACTCAGCTGTAAGTGCCTGCAAGGTGCTGGGAATTTGGTGAAGAACAAACCTGTTCCATATCCTCAAGGGGCGCCTATATCATAGTTTCCGACTAGGTCCCATTCCCAGCAGACCCCTGGACTCCTCCCCTCGAACACAGATGTCCCACATTCCTGCTCTCTGCCCATTCATTCCCTGGAGTTCTGGGGCTGGGGGCTGGGATTGGACACCAGCCCTTTGTCTGAGGTCAATCATGGTCTCTGTATGGCAGTGGAGGTCCTGATAGGGCAAGAAGGGGCCGGTGCTCTCTGGCCCAGTCCCTGGGCTGCACTTCAGCCCCTGGGTCTGTCCCTCCAGGTCACCCCTTCCTTGCCTGGCCTCCCTGCGTCCCCCTCCCAGAGCCTGGGCCTTGACAGCTCCACAAAGCAGTTACGCATGAGCTGGCTGTGCCGGCTCGAATCTTTGCTTCTTTGCTCCTGTTTCCCCGGCCACTCCTCCGTCTCCCACTGGAGATTTATCTCCTCGAGTTCCCACACATCAGGCTGTGGCGATGGGAAGGACCTCTGGGAATGGATGGGTTTGGGAATGCAGGAGCCACTGGGCCCAACTGGGAGCCTGAGACCTGGGCCCTGTTGTCCCTGGAGATTTCAGGTCCATCTACGTTTTCCACTCTGGTCCCACAGGGTCAGAACCCTGCTCAGGCCCCTCAACCATTTGTGTCCTTGGACTTCTGGGAAGCAGACAGCCCTCCTCTCCCCCCTGCCACCCACCGTCCATGCCTGGACCTCCTCTGATCCCCTTTCCCGGGCACTTGCTGAATAGAGCCTTGTTCTCCACCGCCGGTGGCGCCACACAGCAAGGGCAGCCCCTAGGGGGCTGTGCTGCTTTATCCCAAGATGCCAGGCTGTCAGGCGGGGTGCAATGTAAGCCCCCTGCTCAATGGGCTTCTCGGAAAGCATCTGAGGGGGGCTGGGGTGCGGCGGGAAGCAGGCAGTGTGCCCATCCCTGACCATTGTGTCTGTGCCAAGGTGAGTCATTCAGTGGGCAAGAAGAGGAGGCCCTGGGGGGCAGCCAACCCAGCGCTGCCAGGTCTCCTGCTTGCAGACAAGGCCTGGCTGTCCGCCTCTTCCCCAGCTCACAGAGCCAGCTCAGGCCCCCGAGCCTCTGTCAGAGCAACGTCCCCTACTCCGCATCAGGATATGTTCTTTTTTGTTGCTGTTGTTGTTCTTTTGAGACAGGATCTCACTGTCGCCCAAGCTGAAGTGTAGTGGCAAAACCATGACTCACTGTAGCCTCAACCTCCCAGGCTCAAGGGATCCTCCCACCTCAGCATCCCGAGTAGCTGGGACTACAGGCATGCATCACCACACCTGGCTAATTTTTTTTTTTTTAAATTAATAAAGACGGGGTTTCACCATGTTGGTCAGGCTGGTCTTGAACTCCTGACCTCAGGTGATCCTCCCGCCTTGGCCTCCAAAGTGCTTGGATTACAGGCGTGAGCCACGGCACCTGGCCAACACCTGGCTAATTTTTAAACTTTTTTGTAGAGATAGGGTCTTGCCATGTTGCTCAGGCTGGTCTAGAATTTCTGGGCTCAAGTGATCTTCCCACATCAGCCTCCCAAATTACTGGGATTACAGGTGTGTGCCACTGCGTCCAGCCCACAGTGTGCTCTTCGTTTGCCCATGTGATGGACAGACGGCTTGCTGAGATCTCCCTCTGTGAGTCCCAGCACAGAAAGGGAGGTGACAGCCCCTTAGGCTCTAGTCACATCTGACCCTGGGCCTGAGCACTGACACAGGGAGGGGAATCTTGAAGACGGGGCGGGTGCCCAATGACCTTTGATCCTGCTATGAATTGGGGACCTGGGGAAGGACAAGAGGCTTTAAAGGAAGAGCAAGGCTGGGCACAGTGGCTCACGACTGTAATCCAAGCACTTTGGGAGGCCAAGGTGGGTGGATTGCTGGAGTCCAGGAGTTTGAGACCAGCCTAGGTAATGTGGTGAAAACTCATCTGTACAAAAAATATAAAAAAGTTAGCCAGGTGTGGCGGTGCACTCCTGTGGTCCCAGCTATTTGGGAGGCTGTGGTGGGAGGATTACGTGAGCCCAGGAGGTGGAGACTGCAGTGAGCCAGGATCAAGTCGCTGCACCCCGGCCTGGGCGACAGAGTGAGTCTCTGTCTCAATAAACAAACAAACAAAATAGAAAAGGAAGAGCAAGACTGGGCATGCGCTCCTATCTCAAATCTCATCTCTGTGGCTGGGAGTGGCCCGCCTTCCCAGGCTGCCTAGCAAGTAACAGTGTGCAGCCTTCCCTTTTGTTCAAGGGAAGTCTTGTTAAAATGAGGGCAAAGCTGTCCTGGAGAGTAAAGATGTGACGAGCAGGAGGTGCTCACAAATTGTCCCTGTGTATGTGAGACACGAGCGTGTTTCAGCATCAGCAGTGGGAGTCCCCTAGCCTTCACCGTCAGCCACTTCCGTGGGCCGCTGTCACAGGCCCAGCTGCATCTTCCACCCTCTCTCAACCCTCAGAACCATCCTCACACTGAGCCCTTAACTATCTTGTTTTTGTTTTTTGAGACAGGGTCTTGGCCTGTTGCCCAGGCCAGAGTGCAGTGGTGGCATCACAGTTCACGGCAGCCTTGACTTCTCTGGCTCAAGTGATCCACCCACCTCAACCTCCCAAGTAGCTGGGACCACAGTCATGTACCGCTGTGCCCCAGCTCATTTTTGTATTTTAGTAAAGACGAAGTTTTACCATGTTGCTCAGGTTGGTCTCGAACTCCTGGGCTCAAGCAGCCCTCCCACCTCTTCCTCTTGAAGTGGTATGATTACAGGCATGACCTGTACAACTGGTACACATCGATCACACCTGACCAACCCTGAACTAGCTAAAGGTGTCTGCACAGAGAACCAAGGAGAAGACAGATTTGGTCATGGTGGTTTTCTAAACTTTCATTGTCTTTTTTTATTAAATATTCATTGTAGAAAAGTCAGAAACTATAGATAAGCAACATACAAAAAATGTGATTAGCCATCGTTTTGCCACCTGGAGATAAACACTATCAGATTTTTTCCACACAAATAAACTCATTTTTTTGCAAATGGGCTCATGCTGTACAAATTATTTTGTAATTTGCTTTTCTCACCCAACAATATGTTGTGAACATCTTTCTATATCAATAAATACTTGTCTGCATCATCATTTAACAGCTGCATGATTTTCCACTATATGCATTTATGTACTAAGTCTTAGTGTTGGACAGTATGACAGTATGTTCTCTCTCTCTTTCTCTTTTTATTTTAATGGAGTCTTGCTCTGTTGCCAGGCTGGAGTGCAGTGGTGCCATCTCGGTTCACTGCAACCTCCACCTCCTGGATTCAAGAGATTCTCCTGCCTCAGCTTCCCAAGTAGCTGGGACTACAGATGTGTGCCACCACGCCCAGCTAATTTTTGTATTTTTATTAGAGATGGGGTTTCACCATGTTGGCCAGGATAGTCTCTATCTCTTGACCTCGTGATCCATCCGCCTCAGCCTCCCAAAGTGCTGGGATTACAGGTGTGAGCCACCATGCCCAGCCCTATCTCTCTTTTTTTTAGAGACATGGTCTCACTCTGCCACCCAGGGCCAGAGTGTACTGGCACCATCATGGCTCACTGCAGCCTTAGACTCCTGAGCTCAAGCAGTCCTCCTGCCTCAGACACCCAAGTAGCTGGGACTAGAGGCACATGCCACTGCACTCAAATTATTTTTTTTTAAAGAGACCAAGTCTTGTTATATTGCCCAGGCTGGTCTTGCAATCCTGGCCTCAAGTGATCCTCCAGCCTCAGTCTTCCAAAGTGCTAGGATTACAGGTGTGAGCCGCTGTGCCTGTCCTTTCTCTGTTCTAAACCACACTCTGATTTGCATCTGTCCCAGGCAAACACATAAAACAGAAGGGTAAACCCTCAGCCCTTCCAGCCTCCACCCAAACCCCATCCTCCTGGCCTGGCTCAGGCTCCATTCTCTAGGGTGCCTCCTCTCCTGCTTCCCCAAATGGAAGGCCCCAACATCTGAAACCTCAGGCCAAACCCTAGACTGACTTCTAGATTGCATAGCAGAATAGTACCAGCTGTGGAGAGAGATGCCTGGGTGCCCTTTCAAGGAGCCTGCAGTCAAGCTGTGTCTGCTTCAAGCTGAGGTGGGGAAAAGATGACCTCCTCGCGCCCCTCCCTCACATCGGAATCTGCTAGATGAGCTTCTGCGTACAGGGTAAAGCCCAGATGCCTCCTGGGACAGACCAACCCCGCATGTGGCCTCAAAACACACACAAGGTGCCTGGTGTTTGCCAAATAGGCCAGCCTCTAATTCAAGCAGCAGTTTTGCCACGTGACTACTGCCCACTGGCTCCGATTGGGCCCCTGGCCCTGGCCCAGTGCCTGCCACGGCATGGTGGTCAGCAAGCTGGGTGAAGAGAACACAGTCTCTCTGGCTGGGCCTTGGTGACCGGCAAGTTGTTCATCCATGGCTGGTCCCAGAGGAAGGGAACTGAGCCTGGTGGCCACTAGATGGCGGTGCTCAGCTGGCCACAGGTGCGAGCAGCCACAGCCACAGCAGTTTAAAGGGACTCCAAGCCGGTCCTGTAGGGGTTTTCTAAAACCCAAATTTGTTTCACCCAGAGGCATCACCCCCTTTATTCTCTAGACTTGACTTTGACTGTGATAGCACTGTCCCCAAAGAGAGAGAGCAAAGCCTTGGCCACTCAGTAGCTGTGCAGTCTTCAATGGCTTTGAGAACCTTCCCTGAGTCCCCATTTCCACCTCTGTAAAATGGGAATTCAGCCATGCCTGCTCCCCAGGTAGCTGTAAGAATGAAATCAGTGAAAGCTGGACACAGCAGGTGCTTGACAAATTGCAGCTGCCATTACATAACACCTACCAGGGGCTTCGCCTATTGACATGTCAGCGGATCTGGATGCGGTTGTCGGAGGGGCGGGAGCTGGGTCCTCTGAAGGGGCCCCTATGTCCTATTAACTCTGTTGGGTGTATATGGACACCCCTCCCCCAAGGGCAATTACTTGGCAGTGTGGATGGGACAGAAGGCAGCAGCTGTTGAAGCACGGGTGAGAGCCAGCACTGTCTACCTCCAGACCACAAGTTGTTGGTGGCTTCATCTCCCAGGGGACACAGGCAACTTATCTCCTCCAGGCCTGGAGACTCAGAGTAGAGACTGCCTTCTACCTGCTTTCTTGCCTCCCTGGCTCCCCCAGTGGGTGCTGTTTTCTCCATCCTCACCCCTCCCTATCCCTAGACTTGAGCCTCCACAAACCTATCCAGTTTGAAAAGCTCTTGGCCGGGTGCGGTGGCTCACACCTGTAATCCCAGAATTTTGGGAGGCTGAGGAGGGTGGATCACTTGAGTTTGAGAGTTTGAGACTAGCCTGGCTAA